CTACAGTCTGCAGTTAACGCACATTGTGTTTGTTTCATTCCAAATCCATTGTGGTGGTGTATAGAGCCAAAGATGTTAGAATTGTGTCGATGTCCCAATATTTCTGGAGTGTATAGAGCCAAAGATGTTAGAATTGTGTCGATGTCCCAATATTTCTGGAGTGTATAGAGCCAAAGATGTTAGAATTGTGTCGATGTCCCAATATTTCTGGACCTGACTGTAGGAGGGAACGATGAAGGCGGGAAAGGGCACATGCTTTACTTAATCCAAAGAGAAAAATATTTTGGAAAATCCACTTTCTCTTTCTGCTCTTTTGAAAACAAAGGAAGCCGAACACGTGAGGAGGCGTTACGCGTGCTTTACAAAGTACCTCCTGGAATAGGGCGCTGCACAAAACTAACATTGTCAATTTCGAAATGTTTCGTTCCCAGGGCAACCTGCGAGCTTGCCGTTGTATTTTCAAGAGTACCGCGTTAAAACGATCTAGCCCTAAAACGAAAGCGGAGATAGGCGACCCGGGGAAGGCGCGCGCGCCCCCGCTTTGCAGGCGGGGAGCCCCCGAGAACACGCCCGCAGGGCCCAAGGAGGGGACTGCCCCGCGCTCAGCTGAGCCGCCGCGGTGAGGCAAAGCACGGCACCTTTGGCATTGCTCGGGGGGCACTCACAAGATCCTCCGAGCCATAACTCCCACTTCGCTCAGCCGGCGCCCTCATCCGCTGCGGAAGAGCGGAAGAATATCCGGGGAACGAAGACCGCATAGAGATAGGAAAGCAGACTCGCAACGGCGTTGAAGCGCTGCACACTTGAATTCAGCAGTTCAGCTTCTCTGTTTCAGCGCTGCAGGAAAGCGGTGAGAGCGGTCAGGAAGCTGCAAAGACGGGATTCGGGTTTCCATCGACGGGGTGAATTAAGGCGGCAGCACCAACTCTTCCTACCAAGCCTAAACCGTTCCCGAAGACACGAGTGAAGAGTCTCGGGTTGGACTCGCACGTGGTGGGGGAAGTACATTTCTCCGAGGTTTCAAACTGCGAGGCTATGAGAGCCCAAGGATCACCGTATGTAGCTTTTCTGTATATCCGCATCGAAAATTCAGAAATCAAAAAAGAAAGTGGCACCAATATAAAATTAAATACTCTGATTTTTTTCTCTCTCTCTTTTTTTAAACATATCTTTTCTGTGCACGGCTGTTAGCCCTGCTAGGTGGTTCAGGGTTAGTAGGATTGGCTAGCCTGGTCAGGTGACAGCATCTGGATGACCTTGACTCATCTCGAAGAATACTATGGAGAACCAGACCTGGAGGTGTCAGTCTTCAAGGTGAAGGGTTGGAAATTTGGGGAGAGTGAGGGGCACACCTCAGAATGATGCAATGGCAAACCACTTTACTACGTAGAGCAGGGTTTCCCAAACTGTGAGGTGTACCTTCCTTAGGGAGATGCAGACAGGGTCCAGGGGAGGTATGAAGAACCTTTTAGTTGTCCATTGTTACAATAAATCCACCTTTCCCAAAGTTTCATTGTATTGTTTTCATTGTTCATTTGTGTTCATTTCGGTGTTTGGATTTTTAGGGGAGGTGTGTACATTAAGATTATACTAAAGACTTATTCAAAAAAAACCCTTTAAACCTGGTTTTTCTCCCAAGCCTTGGACTA